CAGATCGTATTCAAATTCTCCCACCAAATCGGCGCGACCCAAATTTCCCGTTTCAAATGCTGCATCAAAACACAAATGGCCACGTTTCGCTTTTCCGCTATGTCCCGGAGGTCTAATAATTATTCGGCTGACATTACCCAGACCACCTTCTCCATCTGAATCTTCACTATCTAATGTAGATAAAAAAAACCATAAACCAGATTATTTTTTTATCTTCTGAATCTGGAAAGACGTGACTATGAAGACTTTATCTTCTTTTACATATCGAGAAAATTATGATGCGGCACACTGCAATTAAAAAAAACTACGAACCTTCAACTCTTTGATACATGCTACGTAACTCTAGTGGGTCGCAAACAATCATCTTGAAAAAATGTGATTGTGGACCGTAAATGAAGGTGTTATCAATACAATGTACTGTTCTGTACTAGATTTGTTCTTCTGAATGCATACAAAATTTATTTCTTATTGGCAATATGCTTTAGTGCTCTCACTTTCCCCATCTCTTGCACGAATGCAATGTTAATACTTTTCCGCACACATAGTTTAGTATATGAAAGTATAGGAATTGGTCATAAAAATCTTGGTCCGAACTTTTCGGACGGACGGACAATGTCCGAAAATTTTATCTCGGACAAACGGACAAACGGACAGCATTTGTCCGAAACTGTCCGTGTCCGTTGACAGCTTTAGTAATATAGTCGATAATCGAAATATGTGAATGCCAAAATTGTTATATCCGAAAAATTTAGTTTAAGTTCGAATATGAGTTATTTGATTTGATCCCAACTCCAACCAATTTTATAAGGAGCGAAGAAAATGTTTTTATTTTTTGAAAATAACGGAGCTGTCCGAGCATTGGAACACTCTCTTTCTTACTATGTATTTTGGGCTGAAATCAACATTCCTTGAAGTTCTCTATATATCTGTGGTATTTCGTTTGGAGGACCTTATTAGGTTATTGTTTGTTCACTGTCGCGTGATAGTTTCGAGGCGACTGCTTTGTTGATATATCCCTTTGACGACCAATGGGACACATATGTCCCATTTTGTTTTTCATCTGTAATAACTACATTTTTTAACCAATTTTAGTAAAATTGGTTTCGTTTGAAAGAGAATTAATGTAGCTATCAGAAAGTACCATAATATTGGATATTGTAAGCGCAAGTGGATAGAACAGTCTAAAGTCAAAAAATCTTAACTTTTTTTTCAACTTTCGCCAAATGCTATATAATTTTAACGGTGGAACTTTTAAAGCTGAAAATTGGGAATAATGTGCGAAATGTCCATTACTTTCCAAAAATCATCGACTTTATTTAGAAAAAGGGTTTTTTCCACGTTTTATTGCGTTTGGCGCGATGGGACATACAGTCATGGAAATTTAATTAGGACCGGCATTAAAATTTCAGTTTTTTCCCATTAATTCTGTTATTTTACGAAAAAATATTCATGAAATGATGTTTATGAGAATATTTGAAGTTTTTATAAATGGACTAGACTATCAATTTCATTATTTTAGGTAATGGATATCATTTATTGATGAAATTGCTCAAAAACTGCGGGTTACAGACCAAACTAAACTTTATAGCATTTTTTGTATGAAAAATCGTGGAAGAATCATAGTTTGGTCTGTAACTTTTCGAATTTGTTAAGAAATTTGAAATCTATTAAATGGTAATGTGGAAAAAATGTATTTCAATTAAATACGACCATCGGTGGAGTGAATTTGGTCAAACAAATGATAAATTTTCCGATTTTTCGAAAAATTTTGTCATTTTTTGTATGGAAGGTCTTAATTATTTTTCCCGCAGTTTTTGGGCAATTTCATCAATAAATGATATCCATTACCGAAAATAATGAAATTGATAGTCTAGTCCATTTATAAAAACTTCAAATATTCTCATAAACATCATTTCATGAATATTTTTTTGTAAAATAACAGAATTAATGGGAAAAAACTGAAATTTCAATGCCGGTCCTAATTAAATTTCCATGACTGTATGTGTCCCATTGGTCGGTAAAGGTAAATAAATACCCCGTATTTCCCTGTATTTTGGCCATTATTCGCGAATTTTCAAACACATAAATTTACAAAAATATCATTAAATTCGTGATTAAATGGGCACAACAAAGCACAATTCAAACCATTTTCGGTTCAAAACAATTCTGAATATTTTAAAAACGAAAAAGATTGTACACGTAGTTCTTATGGGAGACATATTTTTTTCCATACAAAGGTAGTTACCGTTACCGACCAATGGGACATATATGTCCCATCATTTTTTTCATATTTCTAGTTAAAAAAATTAATTTTTGATAACATTTTTATTTTGGTTTTTGGGGTCGCTGAGCACGAATCTGCAATCAGAATCGCAAAATTCCCATCCGTCCAATCTTGGTCGTCAAAGGGATGTTTGGATATAAAATAATATGGGTAGAAATTGCACGTAATTGTGAGCGAGATTGCATGAAATTTCGGCGTCCGAAGGAATAGGAACATCAGAGCTGGTGCAGTGATGTTTCAATGAAACACCATCGATTTCCATTCAGATGTGTTTGGGGGCCGTTCGTCGAATGATTGAAGAAAATCTTTTGATCTTTGATCATTTTACAGTCGAAAGAAGTGTCTTCTTTCGTGACAACGTCAGTAAAACTACTTCTACTCTCAGTCTTGCCCAAAGAACTCAAAATATATTTTGCTTCCCATGAAAAAAGAACCGAACAAGCCATTTTTTTGTTTTTGAACGGTCGAACAAACATTATTTTGGCCAAATTCCGCTCGAAGCATCATCAAACAAGTATTCCTAAACCAAACATCGATGCGTATTTTTTCAACGTGAAACACTAGCGGAAAAATTTTTCAAAATGAATCGTTAAGAACAAAATTCAATGAAATAACGCGGTGTTCTAGTTCGAAAAAATTCTTTATCGCTGTTACACTTTGAACCAATCTTTTTTGTGTGAATCATTTAAATATACTGTGAGAATGAGTCTCATTTAAAAATGCCATCAGTCTCATGAATTTGCTTGAAATATAATTGCATTTCTGGATAGAAATTATCTTTACGTCTAAAAAAATGAATGAGAATTGTACATCCAGCGAGTACGGAAAAGTTTTGTATTACGAATGTAATTCTTTTCATGTTTTTCACAAGCCAACGACTTACCTGACATGTTTCAAATTTTTAAGACATCATCAGATTGATTGAAATCGAAATCAATTCAAACTCTGGCTACTGTTGCTGAAAAAAAAACTCCTTAAAAAACTCCTTGAACATTGCATGTTATTTAACATTTTCAGAATAGCAATTTGAGAATATTGAATGCAAAAAGAAAATTACGACACACACTCATCAAGAACATCCGTTTCAATTTCAGCACTTGATTAATTTTAATAATAACACCTATTTTCTAAGAATTTCACTGAAAATGTACCGATTGAGAATCGTAACTTTTACTATAGCAGCAGCACGAAAAACTGGGTGTAATACACAATGGATGTTTGGTCGATAAGATATCGTGTTCAGGATATTGAATATCAAACACCCAACATGTTTGAATTCAATTCAGTTCATACCAAGATTGTTTCCGAAAAATTGAACAGTCTCGTGTAAATTAAAATGGAAATAAAATAATAATTAATATTTGGTCCTAAAAATGTACATATATGGACTGGTAAATTATTTATAAACCATGTGATGACATGTGATGATGAAAGTAAAAAAATCTTTATATAATTCCGTTAGTAGTGTGGTCATAAATTGTAAAGTCAAGTAAGAAATAAATAATAATAAAAAAAATAGAGATTTTTGTTGTTGTTATAAAATAGTGGATTTATTTATGAGGATGATTTTGTCAAAAAAAATGAAAATGAGAAGAAATCGAGTGGCCTAAATCAGTTCGACTACCAACACAAAGATGTCGCTGAAACACACTCGCACACTTATCAAACATACATAGTCAAAACAAGGGTATATTACGATATCATTCGACAATATGACGTTGACGTGTTCATTGTAATACATCACAATTTTTTGACAGCTAGTCCATATACTACTTTAGCTAAATAATTAATTAAATCCATTATCGCACTGATGTTGTGAAAATTTACGATATTTTTGTGCAAATACAGTTTAGTACATGGTAAATACGGAGAAAAAAGTCTAAAAAAGTTCTTCTTTTGGAAATTCTCATACGTTCGTATTTTCTAAATACCAATAATTGTTATTATTATTATTATTATTCTGCACCATACAGCGTTTCTTCGCCAGAGGTGGTTTATTTAGCATAAATAAATCTTGTTATATTTACAATGTTTGCAATGGGATAATTAATTCTATTTGACTTTACTCTCTCCAAATTCTATTTCTCTTAAAATAATCAGCTACTCTCTGTTTTACAGTATTTGTACTTATGTCAAAAATCAATTAAATAAGTATCACAATTCGGAATAGTAGTAATATTACATTCATCTGGTAAATTAGGCGGTTTGATAGGAACAAAGTATTTATAAAATTCATTGTATGTACTCAACATATAATTGATAGGTTCAAACTTGGAATAGCAATTTTGATGCGTCGGTAATGAAAGGAAATCTGAGTTTCTTGTCCAATGTCGCGGTGTTTTAAAACTTATTTTGCTCAAAATGTATTTCGATGAAGTATTTCCACATATCACATTGTGGACAAGTGATATTTGTGCTATCTTTCTCCGCTCTTCCAGCGTAATCATTTGTAATTCAAGCAGTCGGCATTCGTATGGCGGCTTCCTGAATCTGTGTGGCCACTTCATTTTGCGCAGTGCAAACAATAAAAACTGCTTCTGGATCGATTCAACTCGTGCAATTTTTTCATCGGTGTATGGGTTCCAAATTTGGGAAGCATATTCCACAATCGGCAATACAAATGTGAAAAATAATTTCTTTATTGTCCATGGATCATCAAATTCATATCCAAATCGTTTAATCCATGCTAAACGTGATTTCGCTTTGGCTGTAATATACTCAATGTGTGCATTAAAATTCAATTTATGAATGCTTGTGAATGGTTTTTTTTAGTGTCTGCATACCTTGAATTGAATTTATTTCTCTTTCATAGTCATTTGACCAAAGGCTAAAAAACAAAAGATTGGAAAACTAATAAACAAAATGGAAAGCAATCGTGACGAAGCCGAAAGATGTATACAAATTGCTGCACAAGCATTACGCGAGTGCAAAATGGAGAAAGCAGAGAAATTTCTGAAGAAAGCAGAAAAACTTTATCCTTCGCAGAAAGCCAAAGGTATCTAATTAATTTTTCCTTTCCAAGTATAAGCATCGACACATATTTGTGGCATATTCTAGAATTGTTGGAAAGAGTGCTGCAATCAGCTAAAAATAATACAAATGAAACCGATTCAATACTAACCGATCGGGAGAATACAAAACGGACACGAAAATCTGTCGCCTCACCAAACAAGTCTCCTTCTTCGGAGCCTGACTATACGGCTGAGCAAATGCAACATGTCAAACGGATTCAAAGGTACACAAACGGAATCAATTTCAATATTCATACGATATTAATTACACATGTGTTGCTAGCGGTCAATAAAATATTTTTCTTTTCAGTTGCAAAGATTACTACGAGGTTCTGAAAGTTACAAAGGAAGCGACCGATACAGAAATTAAAAAATCTTACAAAAAACTGGCTTTGGTTTTACATCCAGGTATATATATATACGATAAATTAAGGTGTATCAAATGACATGTAAACGTAAATTTTCATCGGTCCAAATTTTAGACAAAAATCGTGCACCGGGAGCTGCTGAAGCGTTTAAAGCTGTTGGAAATGCGGTAGCAATTTTAACGGACGGGGAGAAACGAAAATCCTACGATTTGTATGGCTCTGACGAACAACACAATATCAATAGAGGTGAATACGATTTTTTTTGCACTGTTTACTACTTTCATCTGGTTCCCAATTTAATATGGGGCAAATGCGATGAAAGACGTACGTGTATGATTACACACTCCACTTTTGTGCTTTTTTTGTTTTTTAATCGCTGCTTTCTTCGATGCTTTTGCATACAGGTGGATACCATAGGACGACATACCAATATGGTTACACTCGAGGATTTGAGGCTGATGTCACAGCGGAGGAATTATTCAATATGTTCTTTGGGGGTGCTGCATTCCCCACACAGAACGTTTATTCAAGTCGCCATCGCCGTTTCCATCGTCAGAATAACGAGGAGCGTGAGGTACAAAAAAATTTGTATATCACCATATTACTTTTCCGCTTTGTTTGTAAGAAAAGTATTGGTTTTACTACCCATAATTTCATGACTCCTCCTCATTCGAACCACAAAAACTCCACAAAAAACTTCTTATCTGCGCATATCTGTACACTAGTCAATGTAAATGGGTAGAAATCCCATCGATCCGACACTGCGCCTTCTTGACAGTTCTCATATAAATGAGCCCAGAAGCGCCAACTGGTGCAAGAACATGTAATAGAACCGTTGTATACCAATAGTATTAAAAGCTTAAACGTTGGGTATACTGTTATTGACTGTTTTGAATAGTAGTTCTTTCACATAAAAACATAAAAATCTGCTTGCATTACACTGATATCTCTCTTATTCCATTGTTATTTTTTCCAAATGAGAAAAAAAAATATTTCAAGCCTCAATTGCACAGCATATCACTATTAGAATCATTGTGTCAACATGAATAAACAAACCAAAACAAACACAAACCACACAATGAAATACCACGTTTGTATAAATATAGCAATCACTTGAAGAGAAAAACTCAAAAAAACATGTTTCAATAAAAAACAATATTCTAATATTTTAGAAAATATAAAATTAAATGAAATTTTTGTGTTTTCACGTGTTTTCATCAACATGAATAACTGCGACAAATGTCACTTCATGTTGTCATTGAAACAATCGGAACGTGGATAGAGGTGTCAACGGACAAAATTTTGTCCGTCCGTCCGTCCGAACATTTTTTGAAAAAATTTGAAAATTCCGGACAAAACCCCTTGTCCGTCCGTCCGTCCGAAAAAAAAATTCGGACATTCGGACCGGACGTCCGAAAAAATTTTTGGTTTTCGGACATTCGGACCGGACGTCCGAAAAAAAATTTCGGTTTTCGGACATTCGGACCGGACGTCCGAATTTTTTTTTCGGTTTTCGGACGGACGGACACTATTATCCGAATTTTTGTCCGTGTCCGTTGACACCTCTAAACGTGGAACGTCAACAAATGAACTGACATTTGTTCGCAATTCTTTAGTTACTCTTGTGTTGACAAAAACACGCAAAAACACGAGAAAAAATGTTTAATTTTACGTTTTAAAATAACAAGATTAAATTCTTGCATTGGAAAAAAAATATTCGCGCTTTTTAATATAAATAAACTCAAAATATTTCTTGAGAACAGAAAACCGCTCATTAAGCAATTGACACATGTATATATTTGTATACAAGCTTTTGAATTTGACGTACGTTGTGCTTGTAGTATTTGTTCTTGCACCAGTTGGCGTTGACGTAAGAAGGCATAGCGTCGCATCGATCAAGACACATCTACCCCCAAAAATACTTTGTTTACTATGAAAAATTGCGATGTTTGTATGGCGTCGTTCGCGTTCGCGTCCGCGTACATGTTTTTTGTTGACACAATAATTCAGCGCCGTAGCGTGAATGAAAAGACAGGGGGGGCTCAGCCTAATTTTTCAAATAAGAATCGCCAAAACTTCAGGGGGGCTCAGAAAATTCCAGGGGGCTCAGCCCCTTGCGCCCCTATGGACGCTACGGCCCTGCAATAATTCAAAAAGTTGAAGAGTTAATTGCAAACCGTGAAGGACAAAAGTTTTGTCATGTTGAGACATAGAAACCATTAAAATTTAAGCGCATTCTGACCTACCAATTTCGAACTATCCGACGCTATGCCATCTCTACGCCAACGCTAACTGGTGCAAGAACAAATAATACAAGCACAACGTACGTCAAATTCAAAAGCTTGTATACAAATGTATACATGTGTCAATTGAGCGGTTTTCTGTTCTCAAGAAATATTTTGAGTTTTTTCTATTAAAAAGCGCGAATATTTTTTTTTCAATGCAAGAATTTAATCTTGTTATTTTAAAACGTAGAATCAAACATTTTTCTCGTGTTTTTGCGTGTTTTTGTCAACACAAGAGTAACTAACGAATTGCGAACAAATATCAGTTCATTTATTGACGTTCCACGTTCCGATTGTTTCAATGACAACATGAAGTTTTTTTTATTGAAACATGTTTTTTTCGAGTTTTTCTCTTCAAGTGATTGCTATATTTATACAAACGTGGTATTTCATTGTGTGGTTTGTGTTGGTTTGTTTATTGGTTGATTCATGTTGACACAATGATTCTAACAGTGATGTGCTTTGCAATTGAGGCTTGAAATAGTTTTTTGTTTCTCATTTTGAAAAAATATCAAATAAATAAGAGAGATTCCAGTGTAATGCAAGCAGATTTTTATATTTTTATGTGAAAGATCTACTATTCAAAACAGTCAATAACAGTATACCTTAAGGTGTCAAACGGACGGACTGTCCGTCTTTTTAACCCGTCCGTCCGTCCGTCCCACGCTCTTGAAAATTTTTTTGTCCGTCCGTTCAGAGCTGCTAAAAATTTTCTTGTTCGTCCGTCCGTCCGTTCAGCTACGATCGGACGGACGGACGGACAAGAAAATTTTTAGCAGCTTTGAACGGACGGACGGACGGAGAAGAAAATTTTTTGGGGGCTCTGAACGGACGGACAAGAAAATTTCTGAAGGTCCTGAACGGACGGACGGACGGACAAGTTAATTTCTGAGGGTCTTGAATGGACGGACGGACGGACAACTAAATTTACAGGGTTCTGAACGGACGGACGGGCGGACAACTAAATTCAGAAGGCTCTGAACGGACGGACGGACATGCAAAATTCTCATACAATATTTTTCACGATTTGAAGAAAAAAACTTTTTTCAAAAAATTAAAAAAAAAAAAATTCCATCGAATTTTTTTTATTTACACGAAAATTCCCATCGATTATTCAATTGATCACGATTTTATCCAATTGAATGGTTTTCAAATAAGAACAAATTGAAATTTACACGAATTTCCAGAGCCATGAAACCGAACTGTCAAACTACAACGGGGACCGCGTAGTCGGTTGTCATTCGTTGCGGAACGCGCTAAAAGTATGCATAAGTACATGAGTATAAATTTCAAGCATTCTGGTTAAAAAATATTTCAATTATTTATAAAAATATACCTAGTGTATTAATATGAAAACCCATTTTTAATAACATTTTAGAAACGTTTGAAAAAATACCGAAAAAGAATATGAACTTTCTTTTTTTTGCTCAGAAATTCTTTGCTAACATTTTTCTTGTTTTTGATTGACAAAGTGATGTTAAGTATCTACTGACATGTTCAATGTGTAGAACAAATTTGTGCAATCGGTGGAACAAAGCCATTGTGTGTTTAAGGAGCCACTTTATTCCCATGGCTCCTGAAACACATTTTCAAGCTCACTTTGTAGGAAGCGAACGTATAAAATGAGAAAATTGAATTAATTGATTTCAAAATTCATTTGAACATCAGCAAATCTAAAGAAAACTTAGATAAATATGTTCATGTTGGAAACATTTATCTAAATTTGATAATGTGGATGTGCCATCCAAATCATTCATTGCATTTAAATAGGAAATAAAGAAACAACATAATTTTACACAAATATTCATTTTCTTTTCAGCATCATCTAAACCCTTAAGTAATTAAAACATGACTTTACGGCACCAGTTCACGTGCTAAAAAGGAACAAAAATAAAATCCTGGTATTCATTTTCCACTTGTTTTTATCATTTTTATTCACTCCATGAATAATATACGTTCACGAAAATACGTTGTCTTTTTCAAACAAAGTAGTTCAAATTCAACGAGTCGTTCTACGAAGGTGCACTTAAGACTGTCTGGCGTGTATTTAATTTGTACTTTATTCTGACAGCCGCGTTGTAATCGATGATGACAGTTCGGTTTCACCCCTCTGCGAATTTCATAAAGAAATCGAACAATAAGATACATAACAAAAATACCATCGGTATCAGCAATTGGTTTTTAAATTTCAAACACGGGAGAAAATCGAACGGTTCGAAAGAAAACATCGAATATACAGTGTGCAAAAAAAGTTTTCGGCCACTTGGAAAAAATTTATATTTTCGTTTTTTTTACTTTTCCGTACACAACGTGTCAAGGGAAAGTATAGGAATTGG